AAATACTCTATCTAGATATTTAATAATGATAGAAATATCTAGAAATGTATAATAATGATGTTGAAAAATATCAAACCTTTCTAGAACCTTTCTAGAAGAGATAAAGATGATGATGTTCTCTATATAAAGCCATGGACTAATTGTAAATGTATGCAAGAATCTTGACTTGTACTCAATATAATAAGAAGAAGTTTTCTTATATTTCCATTTCTACCTTATCTTCTTCTATAATTCTCTTCCTAGCTTGCCCAAGTTCTTGTCAAATATACCTTGTCACCCCAACAGATTCTGCAGGTGCTTTCAATTCAGAAGCATTCTCACCTGATACCTTTTGTTCTGATTTTTTTCTTCTTGACAAATTGCTTCATGCTCCTGTTTGCGTTTGGATGTAACTGTTCTTAGAATAGCAACAGTGTGTCCCTGTTGTTCAACTGGTTATGATAAAGTTACAAGGTCAGAATCCTCATATCATATAAAAAATGATTATCTAATCCGCAGATAGTCTCCTAAACATATAAAAAATGATTTAACTTTAAGATAGTAATGTTCTATGTATGATTTGTTACCCATGAAAAATGCGTTATCCAAAATGAGCACAATACAAATAACATACTAAGAACCAAAATGGTGTTCAAAGATAGATATAAAGCTTTGAATAGATTGAAACTGGAAGACGAACTGAAATGTAGAAATTTGGGCACTAAATAACTCAATTGAACTCCCAAGACATCATCTCAAATTCTACATGCAATGCCTTCAACAACACCAAATATGTTGTTCTAGTAGCAAAAATTTAACTTCAAACCCCATGATTTAGAAACTCACTCCCGTCAAGAGAAAATCTCGTTACCAACTGAGATAGAACCTCTCAAACGTACAAATCTGAAATAAACAAAAGAATATAACTCCAACTTATTCGAGTACTTTTTCTTTGCATTGCATTTGTTTGCATTTAACAAAGACAATTTGTAGTTCACATCTATCTCCAATATTTACTTATATTTTAATGCATATATTATAATTAAGTAGAAAAAATAATTGTTAGAATATTATATATATAAATTTAATATATAAAATATATATACGCTTCCATAGGCGCTCCCAACCTTAAAAACTTCTTTATGCCCCCACTTCATGCAACTAAGGTGTCTAGAAAGCCTTATAAAAAGGGTTGGCAAGCCTAAGCTACACTCCTGGTAGAGGTGTTTCAGAAAAGGCCTTTGGTTTTAATCAAAATGGCCATAGAGAAACTTTTCTTATTCAAAATCAGTATGTTAGCTCCCTTTTGTCCCCTAACTTTGCCAATTGTGAACATGAGCTTCTCGTCAATAATAGGCTAGCATATTTCAACACGTTGCTTACGGGTTTATCCGTCATGCTGACTAAATGAACCCACAAATTATTCATGTTGGAGAGGGTCAAATTCACGGGCTGATCATTTAGCTAAAGATAGCTCGGGTTTTCCCTTGTATGGTTAGATTGTTGGGTCGGTGTGTTGGGATCTGGGATCTCGCCCAAGACCTTATAGTAATTATTCCATGCAGAAAAATACACCCACACTCAAGGAGACACAATATTTAACGTGGTTCGGCCTCAATGCCTACGTCCACGGGAGAGTAGTCGGTTATCACTATAACAATGGAAATATTACAGAAAGATTACAATAGAGGAGGAGCTCACACTCTCCTCACTCACACACTCACCCGTCTCCCTCGCTCACACCGAGGGAGACGGTCTCTCCGCCTCACATATTTCACTCTCTGTGGCTTGCTCTTCTCTCACTCTCTCTCACTCAAATCCTCCCCTTAGCCTCCATTTATACACAATTACAAAGGAGATGGAGAGGCTGGCCTTGCATATGGCCAGCTATGGCTTCACATAGCCAACTCACCTTTGTTGGCTTTGCACTCTTGCAGCACATGGAGAATCACCCCTCACATGGGGTGATGATATTCCACAAATCACCCCCTCAACCCATGTGAGGTGATCCACAACACACATTGCTGCTAATCTTGTCACGCCCAAATTCAACATAGTTTGCATCTCCTCACTGAGACGCTGTATCCCTTGAAAGCTAGAGATAATACACCAGAGATACAAGAGGAGGAGGGAATCCTACATCCTCAACTCAACTCACACCACTCTCTGATTTAGAGAGAGCCTCTGCTCCTATCTCCCACAGATCTCTTCCACGCTTCTGTCTCGGATGTCTATACCTGCTATGCTTGAACTTGCGCAACCAAGATATCCGACACCCCCTGACTGGTGGGGTCACAACCGGTCCCACTTAAGAACCAGTCTCCTTAGACAGTGTCTTTTTGACAGAACTTTCCTAGACCTTTGAGATAATCATGTCTGCAATCCTCTGATCGTCCCTGACCAATCCTGATCTCCCTCGATCTGCCATTTGATCAAGCCTGATCTCCTCTGGTCTTCAATGATCTATCTCAATCTGTATCTGGTTGTCCAATCTGGTCAGAATCTGCCCATTCTAACCTCTTCAGTGAATCCGCAGCATTCCATAATATTCGGCAACCTTCCTTCGAGTATTGAAGATGGCAAACACCCATGTTTTGACAATCTTTCCAAACCGTTCAGAATTTCACTATTCTGACCTCGCGGTTGCGTCCGGAGCGGTCCGTTTAGCTAGAACCAACCTTTGCTGCATTTTCGGGGACCTAACTAAAAACTATCCCCGAAAGCTGGGCCACACCACAATTTTCTGAAAATTCTGGGCCAAATTGTAATTTTCAGAAGTTCAGAGAATATTCCGTGTACCAACAGAATATTCCGTCCACTGCCCCTGACGCCGTCTGCCACTTTAATCCGCCTTCTTTTTACAGAAACTTCGCCTCCAAAATCTGACCGTACGGATGTGTCTGGAATACTCCAAATAGTTGAAAACCACTATTGGATCGCCAAAAACGGACTCCAAATGGCTTAGATCTAGCCAAAACATTTTGTATGCCTCAGATCTGCGGCTGCACCGTAGCCGCAAAGCACTGGATCCCTCCTCTGGATGCTGACGGGGCAGCTGACGGGGCTGCCACGTGAATGACACGTGGCGGCGATTATGACACGTCGCTGCTGACGTGGGTCCACATGGCGTGCGCGTGGGCCTAGCGCGTGGCATGGACGCGCGTCTGCTCAGTCACCTTCTTCCTCTCGCCGCGCGTGTGGCGTGTGCCTGAGACTGGGATCACGCGCCGAGTGCCTGAACGGCACGTGGCGGCGCGTGTCGCGACTGGGATTCACGCGCCAACTTCCAGTGGCGCGTGAGGGCGCGTCCGGCGTCCGTTGGGTGTCTGCTTTATATTTCTGGACTCCTCTCGTCGAGTCCTTGCTCCTAGTATGCTCAAAAAACTGATTTCGAGCAATACGATTTCTGGGCAGTTTCGAACAACACACTGTTTTTGTTCCGAAACGCCTCCAACGAGGCTCTGATACCACTTGTTGGGATCTGGGATCCCGCCCAAGACCTTATAGTAATTATTCCATGCAGAAAAATACGCCCACACTCAAGGAGACACAATATTTAACGTGGTTCGGCCTCAATGCCTACGTCCACGGGAGAGTAGCCGGTTATCACTATAACAATGGAAATATTACAGAAAGATTACAATAGAGGAGGAGCTCACACTCTCCTCACTCACACGGTGAACCTTAATAAGTACTGTTCACTCAATTCTACTGTTTACTCAAACACTAGGTCCAATGAGGGGTTTGGGGCCGAAATTTTTTTGGTACTTTTGTGATTCTCATATTGCTTCCGTGTAACTTTAATTCTATATTTATAAATAAATGAGGGGCGCCTCTTTTAGGTTAAGACAATTGTATTTTTCTGATCATAGTGAAACGCAGCAGCTGTGGACGTAGCCCTATTCTGGGTGAACCACGTAAATCTTTGTGTTCTTATGTGTGTGATTTGTTTGATTCGTTTTTTTGTTCCTTATTTGTTATTTCGTGTCTCACCGATCTTGGTTAGAAAATGTCAATTCCTAACAACATATTTTACACCTTGTCCCTCCAATGTACCCAAAAAGAAAATGCCAAGCACAAAAGAACGAAGAATTTGACCATTTTCTCCTCAGAATCCTCACAATAAGGACTAAAATAGGTCATGAAAAGTTACTGTAATGACATTGCTTCTGTAGTTTAGCCAACAAAATACAAAGAAATGCAAGAATTTGTCTGGACCTTTCTAGCAAGTTCACATAAGCCATTAATTTAAAAAACCCAATTTCACAATCAAAACGTCCTAATTCAGCTAACAACTTAGGCATGAAAATTTTAATTCAGTTAGTAACACAATGCAAAAGTGCAGACTTGGACAACAATGAAGTACATTACATAACTGAAAGCAATAACTCATCAAGAGCTTAATTGAGAAAACAAGTCTCAGACAATAAACTGTAACAAGCATTGTTTCAGTGGCAAGAGTTTTAACAAAATGGTGTAGCGGGGACTAATTTGTAATTTTGTATAAATAGTTCAATATTTAGCTCTTTTGAACTATAAATTGATTCGTGGCATTGGTCTCATCCTTTTTTCTTTTTTTTTTAATATATAGTTGTTAGGTTGTTTTTTTCCTTAAGTTCATTCTCGTGCCTAGGTTGTTCAAATTGTCAAAGATGCAACTAATTTGCTAAAATAATTAGGTATTTATCTAAGTAGTCGTGCTTCAATCAAACACTAAAATGCTATAAACTCGTCGCAATTATTGACCGCCAAACAATATTTTTTTAAACTAATTTCTACTTCATAAAATATAGATAGTGTTGATACATAGACCCAAAATCAACTAATAAATATAAAAATTTATTAATTGATTTGGAGTTTGAGTCATGGCCTGAGCAACTGTTTTTTCAGCTTTGATAAAATTCACTTAAGTTATTGAGGAATCTAATGAAATGGGACATAGTTCCCTAACAAGGATGCTTTAATTGTACACTCAATTCTTTACACATTAATTAAAAAGTTTAGAATTTTGAACAATCTTCTTCTTAGTGATAACAAAATTCAAAATTCAATTAGAACCATTCCAAGCAGATACGGAATAAAGGGGTCGACCATGCCAACATATCATTTGACTCAATCGTTCACTGACTATAATGTAACCGCTATCTGGTCCATACGCCTCGACCAATCGCTTTGCCTCCTCCATGGTGTCATACCACAATCGCACCGGTCTGAACCCTGCTTGAGCGAACCTGACCACCCACCTTGTGTGCCTTTCGTGCCTCTCCTCTCTCTCTAGCCCTTCGCACGCCACGATATTTTCAATATCTTTCCCAAACATTTCCTCTAACACGACACGCTCTTCGCACGAAGATCCTCCAAAAGTGGCATCTATTGAATCAAACACCGCACTGTAATAATGCAAACCTTCAACAAACCGGTCCACAAGACGGTTCATGTTGTGATCCGATTCTTGCTCCACCATTAACATGACCTTGGGCGACATGGACCGTACCATTGCTAGGAATTCACTCATTTGCTTACAATCCTTGACACCATTGTTGCTCTTGTTGGCTCCAAAATGTGCGTCGACACTATCATCCTCAGCCAACAAGACATGGAGGCTAAGTACTGATGCCAAAGCCAAGGCTTCACCTGATCTTACTTTTAGCATGTCTATGCTGAGCTCTCTTAGCCCAACATTGACAGGGTTGAATTGGAATGGCATGTCTAAGCTTTCAGCCTCTTTCACAAGCTTTGTCCCTAACTTGTCTAGCACAACTTTATTGGTACTAACACAAGTGATCTTCAAATGGGGAGGCCCATTGGGCAAATGCCCCAAGCCTTGTAGCAGTGGAACCCACAACTTTGGATCTCCCAAACCCAAATCCACTATGTGGATGACACGCTCCTCGGACATAGTATGGATCAAGGTTCGGGTAATGATGGCATAGGCAAACCCGAGATAAGGGAAGGCTTGGGTGAAGATGGACCAGGCCCGGTCCACTTCTGGACTTGCCGGTCTAGCATTATTCAGGGCCTTATAAAGGCCCGGCCAACGCTTAATGAGCCGGACCGCCAAGGCAGAGGCGAACCGGGCAGCCAGCCGCTGCATGGAGTTGCCAGAGACAGAGGCAAGCTGGGATATTTGGCGGAGGCAGGCATCGGCACGGTGGAGGTTACCAGAGGAGGCATGGTTGGCGCATGTTAGCAAGAGCTGGATTAGCTTGATGCCTCTTTCTTCAGGTTGGGCTGTTGGGGATGGTAAAGTTAAGGATAGGGTCACATCAGGCTTGGTTGGAGGAGGAGAAGAAGTCATTAGGACTTTCTCTGCTTGATTTGGAGGCACTTTCTCTTCTCCCAAACATATATAGAGAAGGTTTAAGGCATGTCATGTTATTTATAAAAAAACCATATCAGATAATAGTGTCATTTTAAATGAATCTGGATCCACACACAATTTATGTGAATTACACTGTAATAGAAAACATTAAGGGTAAGTATACAGAATCATACCCAAAAAAATAATATGAACATTTGGAATATATTTAAATTATATATTAAAATTTTAAAATATTTTCTATAAATGAATTTGAGGTGTGTAACATTTTTCTCTTTAGAGAAAGGGGGGAGCAGGTGAGAAGGTGGAAGGGGTAGCTATTGGAAGCATGTAAATTGTCCAAACCATAAAAATACAAGAAATGAAACGTTTTCTTTGAACAAAATTGTAAGTATGCAAGTGACCAATATGTAGTTGGTCAAAAGAGCATGAGATTCTAATATATTGTCTCACTCCAATCCATCCATCAATAAAACAATATTTCCAAGAGAGTAATCATCATCAGAAAAGAAATATATATATATATATATATAATTGTTTGGGACGTGAATTGACTTTTTGACTTTTTTACTATTTTAATTTAGAGTTAAAAAATCTCGTTTGGAATAAATTTTTTAATTTTTTTGACTTTTGTGAAAGAAAAAATAAAATAATTATGATTTGAATATGACATTTTGTCTCATTGACTTTTTAATATTTTTTTTTTGTGATTATTTTAATCCAAAAATTTATGTCAAACATAACAATATATGTATATTAATTATAAAAAAAATTTAGTCACCAAAAAAAAAAATTTTAGTCATCATGTGAATAGTCAAACAAACAGTGGGTGGTCATGTTTAGAAGAAGCCAATGATATCAAAATAAGCTTTAACCTTTGTGATTTTTTTTTAGTGTCTATCTAACCTCAGATTGATTTTTTTGGGACTTTTTCTAAGCGAGTAATAATATCGTGCAAAATATAACTCTATGTGAAACATAGAAAAAAATGAAACCATGTCTGAATGAGTTCTAACTTTGGCTATTGCTTTGTTGTTCTCGACATATATAATTTAGGCATTCATATTCATCACAAGCTCTATTTTAATGATTCAAACTATTTAATGTATAGATTTTTACGTGAAAATCATTCATGAAAAATTAAATTGATCCGATAATCATGTACACATAACTTCATCATATTTATTTTTTAAAAAATAAATAGCCTATTTTAAAAATTATATTTATTGTCAATTTTTTAAAAGAAAAATATGAAAAAAAAATCACATGGCCTTTCATGAATAATTTACATCCAACACCATATAAAAGATAAATAGATGGGATTATCAGCATGGGATTCGTAATAAGTACATAATCTAATCCACTAAGTGAACTAAAGATAAACTAATATATTTCTTTAATTAGTTATCCCACTTGTACTAAAATCAATCAAAGAACAAGACACAACCAATACAGGACTCACAAAAAAAATAAGACTTATTTTGTATGAGAGGGTAATTTTTGGGAAAAATTGGGCCGAGCTGAGAGTTGGGCATTAAGGCCCAAAACGCGTAGGACTGCGTAAAAAGGCCGTACTGAATACCCTGGCCCAGAAGGACAAAGTTACTCCGGCCTTGGGAAGACAAAGCTACTTCGGCCCAAGGAGGCAAAATTACTCCGGCTCAAAATTCTATAATCGATTTATGTGTTGTTAGACGTTTTCTTCTTAATTAATGTTCACCTAATTTGCTTATGCATACAAAACTGTCTTTACCTTGGAAACCTCTTCACACTCATCCAATCACATCCGCCACTTGCTGAATTATGTGACTTTTAAAGACATGTAATTTCGGCCTCAAGCATTTGTACATTATGCTTTTCTTGCTCACAATGTGAAAATGACTTCCATTTTTTGCAAATACAATGTCTCATTTGCCTTCCACTGAAAGTGTTATCCATCTCAATCACCACCATTAGTTATTTTATTTATTTATTTAATTTTTTTTGAAGTTGAAAGGAGAGAGAGAGAAAGAGAGAGAGAATCAATTAGCAGTTTCAATAACAACATTGTGAAAAGTCCAAAAACAATAGTCCATGAATGAAAAGCAATTTCTTGGCATGAACATGCGTGAAATTCAATTGTTAAGCATATTATATAGTACCATATTTTAATCTAGAAAACTACATTTCAAAATATACTGTGATATATCTTATTTTTATATATTATACTAATTGTTGAGAATATAAGCCTCCGTTTGGGAAGTGGGTTGGCTTTTTGGCTTTTTAGTTTTTTGGCTATTTTAGCCTGGGCTATTTTAGTCTGGTTTGGGAAGGGTTTTTTGGTTTTTTGACTTTTTTGGCTTTTTTTGTGAGAGAGGATTGTAATGATTATGGGTTGGATTTGATGTTTTGTTTTTTGTGGCTAAAATAGCCTATTTTGTTAATTTCTTGGCATGAACATGCGTGAAATTCAATTGTTAAGCATATTATATAGTACCATATTTTAATCTAGAAAACTACATTTCAAAATATGTGTTGTCATTAGTATATTACTGTGATATATCTTATTTTTATGTATTATACTAATTGTTGAGAATATAAGTAATAAAATTTTATATTAACTTTTAGATTAGTTGATCTATTTAACATTATATCAAAACAAACTGCAAATATTGTATTCAAATCTTATTGGTTGTTTACTTGATAAATATAATAGTTGCACATATTTGACCTACTTATGAAAGAGAATCTGGCCATTAATAAGGAAGCGTGTTGAGAATATAAATAATAAGATAAAATTATCGAGCTTAATTAAATCTTTTCTCTAATAATTTAAGTTTTTAAATAAATTTACCATTATTATTTTATCACCAATGCATTGATGACATGGCATTTAATATTTAAAATTTTGGTAATTTTAAACATTGGTAGACTCTTTCCTTTGGTTTTTGGTGAACTTAGCCGCTAGGTGTGATTATTATGATGAAAAGCAAGAAATGAAAATGAAAATGAAAATATGAAAACGTGACTCATTTGATTATCTCAATAATATAAGGTTACAAATGTTATATATTATGGATTTTTTTATCACTATTTTATATTACTTATGATTTTTTTTTTTTATTTAGAAATAATTAATAAAAGTAAATGATATAAAACAGTGAAAAAAATATGTAATACATATAGCAATTTTCTTATTTCATTTCTAGTGACTTGTTCCGAGAATAAAAACTTGTCTTAAATGATAAGAGTTATCTTATTCTTTCATTTTACATTCTTATTATGATGAAAAGCAAGAAATGAAAATGAAAATATGAAACATGACTCATTTGATGATCTCAATAATATAAGGTTACAAATGTTATATATTATGGATTTTTTTATCACTATTTTATATTACTTATGATTTTTTTTTTTTATTTAGAAATAATTAATAAAAGTAAATGATATAAAACAGTGAAAAAAATATGTAATACATATAGCAATTTTCTTATTTCATTTCTAGTGACTTGTTCCGAGAATAAAAACTTGTCTTAAATGATAAGAGTTATCTTATTCTTTCATTTTACATTCCAAACCCATAAGCTAAGTTACAAATGCAAGCTCATCAATGTGTTTCCATCAACTTTAAAATTGAAAATCAAAACATTTTGCAACCCAAACCTAGTGAAGAAGAGTTCTAGAAGAGTGCAAATTAATCACTAAAGTCAATGGTGGTTAGTTTAAGAAGTTGTTAATTAGCATACATTAAGACCAATCTTAATATATCAATGGGTTATTTAAAAGTAGTATCAACCAGAGGACTTGTCTTGATTAGCTGACAAGAGAGCTATACTTGCTTGTCTGGTTTGTAAAAGCTTGTTTACATCTCTGTGTTAGCATCAAAATGGACAGTTATTAGAGTCCAAATCAACAGTCATCGCCGTACAAATGTGGGCCGCTGGATTATTATATCAAGGGTACTAATCTAATCTTCTTATATTAGTCACAGATTAACCCATTTCTTGTTTTTACTTTTTCTTTATTTTTTATTTTTTATTTTTGTATGTTTTTTTCTAATTAAGTGATTACTCCATTTATAATCCTGTTACACTCTGTTTGTTTTGGCTTTCATATTCTGTGTGTGATTGAGACCTTAAAGTGATATAGTGGTGGTATTTGTCTAATTGTGGTGGCAGCCGTGGTGGCAGGATGACGATGTGTGGTTTTGGCAACAACTAGTAGTCTGTAAAACTTTTTCTTTTAAATCAATTATCTTTCCATTAATCACAAAAAAAAATATTTTCCATTGTTTTAGTTTCATCATACTGAACTTTAAAAAATACAAAATACATTTGAAAAAAATATTTTCTACTAAAATAAACAGAGTTTTAAATTTTTTTTTTCATGGTTTCCCACATAAGTTCTCTTCGTGTTCAATTATGAATGCACAACGCAACTATAAAGGAATTTTTATAGGCAGAATCAGACACAATTCTTTTACATAAGATGAGACTTATACATTTAATGAAAATCATCTCATGTGAAAATATTGTGCTCAATTCGATGGTTAAACTTTTCCAGGATGAAACAAAAATATTAGAGACCCAATAAAAATTATTAAATATTTTTAAAATATTTTTTAACTTTTTTAGAATTCTAAATTTGTGGGTAACCATTGAATGAGGAAAGAAGGAGAAGTGTCGGCTCCATTGTCTCGGTGGGCTGTACACCTGAAATAGTGGATATGTAGACTTGAGTTTGGTAATTCAGAGGCCCACTTTACTCTTTCAGATATCCATATTTAGCCTACCATTCGGCCCGTGAAAATGTTGGTCTGTACCTCGAACAGATTGTGATAAGGTAAAGATATATATGCCACTCGATCAGATTGTGATAAGGTAACCAACTCCAAAGATACAACATATTGAGAGAGTGAGATGTTTGAACACATAACAGCAAGTGAAGTGGCTGGTTATGGAGTGGGCACTCTGCTATTATGCGCCACCATTTCTGCCCCCAAAATCGATGCTTTCATTTCTTCTTCCCAGCGAAGGTACCAAAAATACTTCTCAGTTTTCACTCCTTCATTATTGTTTCTAGGTTCTATTCATTTGTTAATGTTTCGGTTTGTGTAAGAATGTTTTTAGTATCAGATTTTACCTATTTTAGCAAACAACTTAGTTTCCATGAATATGCAGCACCCTGGGAATGTGCAAAAGATGCGGGGATCTGAAGATGATAGCATGCCCAAGTTGTAATGGATTTGGATTAGTTAAAGACGGTGGACCATTCAATTTTATTACTCCAGTCAGTGATCGTTATCAGTCATTTGGGAGTAAATCGAAGTTAAGATCCATAGGATGTACCAAATGCAAAGCTAAAGGGTGTTTCGACTGTCCTGAATGCTCTAAACTTACCCAAGATTGATCTTTTTCATGTCATGTGTAAAAGTGTGCTCCGAACAAACTTGACTTTGAAAGTGTATTGTGTTTTCTTACCTCAAAGATTGTTTTAAATCTCAGTGTTTTTACATGGATGATCAAAACAGATATTTGTTTCCAGCATGAGTCAAAAATTGTCTGAGTTTGGTACCCATTTCCATTTCCAGAGAACTCAATCAACCTAACCTTATAAACGGGTTTTCACATGCCCAGGAAACAAACAATATATCTGACACAACGATGAAGTGAGCAACAACTCAAACAGCAAATCATGGCACAACCAATGCTTTATAATGTGCGATGATTTATTTATAGAATACAACTAATACTTGTTCTGTATTAATCCCCAATTTTATAGGTTTCAATAAATATTCACGAATTACAAGAAATACCCATCATCAGCATACAACAATTCCCTGCTTTCAGTCTGCTAATTCAATCAATAATCAGGAGATATGATCAACTGAAAATTATACAACAGAATGATTTGCAATATCAAGACCACCTTGGTTGCCTTGTTAAGTCTTCCCATCATCATCATCTTCATAGTCGAAATCACCACCATCAAGCAAATGCACCCTGCAAAAATACAAATAACAGATTGATGTGGCTGCTTGATAAATTACACACAAAACATGAGCAGACAAAATCAAACAAAACCAATTGATACATATAGCGCAATTCAAGAAGCGCAGAGCTTCAGAGGCCGCAGCCTGATTTACATTTCTAACTGCAGTAATTAGTGAAACAATTCATGCTTGAAAACTTACCTTATCATGCAAAACCAATAGGGAGAATTTTTTGTGAAAAGGAAACATAAGCAAAACGTAACAAAACATGTCACACAATGATGACCAGATATTTAAATGACTTCAAAATGGCATCACCCAATGTCAGTTCGACCAATATGGAGTGCTAGGACAGGTGGATTGATTACCGACCTAAATTTTGGCATATTCACACAATGCCTGCTGTCAAATTAAAACCGGCATTCTATTGCTGTGCACCCTGAGCTTTAACGAAGACCAAGTCCCCCAGTTTATTTATCTACTTTTGGAAGAAGACATTATTCGATACTTACAAACCAACCATTCTCAAACCTCAAAAAGCACATTTAGTTTTAGGTTATAGACAGGCAAAAGTTGAATCATACCAAAAAATAAGGACTTGTTGGAAAGCAAAAGTTTCTTAAACAATTTAAAGCTGTTTTTTATTTTTGCCTTTTCTTTATTTTTTCCCCTTTTGGTTCCTTGTTTTAGTTTTCATTTTTTTTCCCTTCAAGGAGATAATAACTGTTTCAGTAAAGGATTCTATGTCATAGCCAGAAGTCAATATACCATATTAAAAAAAACTACCTTAATCTTTCACAAAGGCGTGCTAAAGCATCTGATCCAGTTCTGGACGCAACATCCTCAATCTCAGAAACATTTGCTAGAGTGACATGGTCTGCAAGCCTAAACTCGCACAATTCCTTCAAGGAACATGCATCTGTCAACACTGCTGAGTGGCCACCACCAGCTGCTAGTTTTCGTACTTCCCCAACACACCTACACAGAGTACTTCCATCAAAATAATTGCCACATAATTGGATTCTCATGAAAGAAATTAAGGGAGAATTCAGCTGAATCATACCAATCAACTGGTGATGGATACCAAGCATACGTAGATTTCTCATTAGCAGCCTGACCATAGCTATTGTAACCCCATCCGTGAATTCTTCCGTCTCTAGTAGAAATAAGAGTGTGAGAATGTCCACACGCAACGAGTTGCACACCAGTTGGGATAACCAAAGCAGGTACATTCCGGAGCAACATTTCAGATTCATTAGGGACGCATGAGAAGAATCCATTTTGGGGGCCAAGGCCTAACTGGCCAGCTTGACCACCACCCCAAGCATAAAGAGCTCCCTTCTCAGTCACAGCACATGTATGTACACCACCACATGCAACATCTTTTATAAAGATTCCATCTAGGGCTACCACTCGCCTAGGCAATAGCTCCTTATCTCCACTCTGAAGCGAACAATGCCCAAGTTGACCCATGCTACCTAGCCCCCAGGTGTAGCTGTGAAATCAGAGAAAAACATTCTTGAGCAATGAATTTTTTTTTCAGAAAGTGAAAATGGCACGAACAAGATGGCTCGGGGCGGGGGGAAGAGGATTACATGACAAAAGCACAGTCTATGATCAGATATTGAACTTGTAATAGTGAGGCTGTTAACAATTATATGGAAAATTTTGGGCAAGCATTTTGATTGATCAATGATAGAAGCTAGAATAAATTTGGATAATAGAAACAGCAATAATCCGGATTCCCGCAATACATTGAGCAGAGCTAGCATAACATTTACGTATTGATCAGTTAAAGCCAGACCACCTATCTTAGCTAAAAACAAAAGTCTACATTTAAGACCAAGTAAAAAAGGAGGAGGGGAGCCTAAAACACAATGACACCAAACAGTGATGTATTGGGGAAGATTCTAACCGCTGTAACAAAATTCAGCTCCTCTAAGGAGTTTACCAGTGATCAAGGTGCTCAGATACCAGAATTTCAACCAAATGAAATCATCCAGAGTAAAGATTCCGGCGTTACTTAGATAACTGAAATGATTTCACAAGAAGTCCAAGTTTCTAAGTGCCCACCACGGTGAAGCGCTAAAATCCAAAGCACTGACAATAACTATAAAAAATGTGTGCATGCGTCATCTAGAAAAAGTAATCAAAGATAAACACCAGGGGAAAAAAAAAATGGCAATCATGATCACTATCTCTTGTTAATCTTAAGTCATGCAGAGGCAAAATGCAAAATGAGAGAAGATTCTTGTCCTATTCTTCAATGGTTTTAATGTACCAAGCCAAGCATGTGACCTTCAAATGTTATGTAGCTCATTCTCATAGCAATTGCTGAATGTCTCATGACTAAACCTGATGTCTATGGAGGCTAGTACACCCAATAGTAAACGTGGAGGAACAACAACCGTGTGCATGCATATGCAAGCATGTATTATGATATGTATTTCAGAATGGTGCTGCTTCCATCACGGATTAGGCCATAGAAAATATAAAAAAAATAAAAACAAGTCAACATATGTACAATTTGGAAGCAAAAACAAATGAACACCAAGAATGACGTTTTAGTTTTCATGGTTTATATCTACATGCAGGTGAACATGCTAGACGGACAGACTGGCAAATCAAGATGTATCCCATTTCCATTGCATCATGTCTCCAGACTAGACGCAAGGTTCCTATGAGAAGTTTTTTCCAAAACTTCAAATAATTTCACTTGTGCCATGCGGATAACCACATTTCTCATGTCTAACAGTAGAAGTTATCTCCATCAAGGAAGGTCCTTTGGATCACTTACACCTCTCCATTCTCCGAAATAGCTGCAGTGTGGTACTCCCCGCATGACACTTGGATAATCTTTACAAGCTCGGGGGCTTCATCAAGGAATTTCGCATATGCACTAATAACACGAGCCCCCTGACGTCCTTCACAAGTAACACCTCTGCCAAGCTGACCATATTCATTGTAGCCTGGTTTATGAGAACAGTGATAAGATTTTAATTAATACATTGCATGAGATCAGAGGTATATGGAAGCCTTCCTTCCCTAACCTATGTGATCAGCAAGATCATACAAGTGCAATTACATAAACAATGATAAGCAATGCAATAATGAGTGTAGGCATGCGTTCATGTATCTTTAATCAAACAATTTAACTAAGAAATGTGCATATTATATTCAAAATTATTTTCTAAAAAGAGAATCAAGTCATGATCCTATAACAAGATTACCCCAAGCTTGCAGCAGGCCATCTTCTGATAAAGCCACAACATGAACAGCCCCACAAGAAACTTGGCGGATAAGCTGGAAGAATAAAGTTATCAGCAAGTCTCATACCATGTACTAATAAGAAAAACAGACATGACTTGTGATTGATAGGCATAACTGTCAGCATGTAAGCCAAAGATCAGACCATGATGAATAAGTTACAAACACACATACTATATAATTCAGTGTATGTTATGTAATTGATATCACAAGTCATAACAAAATAATTCAGAACTTTCAGAAAGGAAAATTTGCTCCAAATTCAATCTTCCAAATAAACGACAACCGGTCACTTAAAAAGAGAGAGAGAGGGAGAGAGAGAGAGAGAGAGAGAAGCCTTTTCTGGTTAGTATCTAGCTTTACTGTTCAAGCTCCTAAAAACTAAATGAAAGGTTATATATGTAATACCGTGTTTGGAGCAAACGCCCCCCAAAATAAACGTGGATAATTGGATCCCTGTGAAGACAGCAAGAGAGGGGCAATTATAAGGATGCAGCACATATTAAGAAGAAGAAATAAATGAACCTTGAGAGGTATCAAAACAAAACCTGATTTTGCCCCCAAACCCAAAGTCTTCTAGTCACCATAGTTCCATCATTTTCATGTGGTTCCGCAATAGCAGCAGTACAATGTGCTCCACAAGATACAGAAATCACAAATTCTGTCTGCAATTGCTTTACTTTCTTCGGTTGTTTCCTTCCCTTCTCAGTTCCATCCCCCAACTGACCAAATTCATTTGCTCCTGTTTGAAGGCATGCATAAATGATTATTGATTGTTTCATGCAGAGTAAGATTGAAAGACACAGCCTCTCTCAAGAGAAAAATACAAGTCTACCCATGCAACAATTCTGACATTATCTAAATCACATAGAGCCATAGCTCAAAGTTATTTAGTATTTCGTTTTCCTTTGAAACTCAATGAGTTGAACCTAATCTCAATATTTTACTATATCCAATATTTTGAATGTGGCATTAAATGAAAGAAATTTTATTCTAAACATATATTTTGAAAAGATCAAATGTCTAGGAATATAGAAACAATCTCTCCAAAAACATGTATCATTTTCCATATTTCAGAATGTTAAAAAAAAAATTCCCCACGAATTTTTTAACAACTTCATAATGAAACAAACAAAGCCAACAAATAAATATAGTTGATGCACAGCTGGACAAGATACACCAGGTGTCATTTGTGTCACGCCAAGCCAATAAAACCTGTATTAACTGGTCAAATGTATAATGTTATATCTACATTTAATTTTTGGAAGAAAAAGTGCCGGCAGTGGACTCAATGAGTTTTGAGCATAAACATATCAAAGGTTGGGAAAAAGTAGTGGAACAAAATGCGTCCCTGTATTTCAGAATTCCAACAGATGTCAAGATCTCATAACAAGAAAATCAATGATAAACTTATCAAGTACTCCTTGGAACATAAATATAATATGAGGGTATATTACCAGTCTCCTTTGTAAATATCACGTAATTACTTTCAATATCTTTATTGTTTTGCTTAGCGTAAAGCTATTCATGCATTTTATTTATGAGGATGAAGCAAATAAGAAGTAATAGATCACTTAAACACAATGACTTAATCAAATCCTTGAATTGTAATAATATCTCTCCTTTTTTAATAGAAGCCACATAAAAAAAATAGCAAGAAAAACAGAGTTATAAATTTATCGTCAAAATTTTCCTTAGCAGAAGTGTTGTAGTATAGACGCAATAAACCTAGAAAGATTGCCAACAATATTGGGCATTCAATTACTAAGCTGAAAAATAATTTTCTCAAAGAGGTAACAAATTCAAGAACAATGCTTTGTAAATAGACTAACCCCACGTAAAAAGTGACCCATCTGAGGCCACAGCTGCAGTATGCTCCCGGCCACAAGCAATATCCAACCATCGCGAATTAATTCCCGCGGGGCATCCAAAAAGTTCAGGGGGGAGCTGCTTTGGGATCCTCAAGTTCCGCTCTTTACCATTCCTACCTGCTTGCCCAGATTGGTTATAGCCCCACACATATACTGCACTCCTGGTTGGAAGACTTACTGATCGGGAGTCACCAAAAATCTCATCAGCATCCATATTATCTCACCCCTTGTAAACATGATTATTCAGAAAATTAAATCAAGCAATTCAAATTTCAACAAAATTAAATTCCAATTAACAGAAACAAATTACAGTGAAATTAATTACATTGTGGAAATGTAGATATTCATAATACTACACAATATCAACGCAACGATTCACCTCCATATATCTTTAAGTACATTGTTTGGTACCTGATAAAAGCTAGTCTCGAAATTGGAACCCTAAAACAGTTGTTTTGTAGAAAGCAAAAGATTCCCAACTGAGCCTTATATATTTCAACAAAATTAGGTACATTCATAGTTAAACATTCAAAATTTTGTCCCTCCCTTCTTTTCTTTGTTTCCTTTTCCCATCAGTAATCAAAACACAAGGCAAGAAACTTTCAAATCCCGAAAACATGACGCAAAATGACACAATAATTCTCTCCGAAACCAATAATGGAAATGTAACGTACCTCGATCTAGTAAAAGAATCGCAGGTTGACTTTGATTTTCCGAGAAAATTTGAGCGATTTGAGAGAAAATGCCGAGAAAAATTATGGATGGAAGATTGTCGTAAAAGTTGCGAATACCTTGGGAAAGGAGCTCGGGTTGTAATATCAACGCAGTTGCCCCACCCGAATCTTCCGGATTTTCAGACGGATCAAACACGTGTGTCAAAACTGCAGTATTTGTATTTGTCTCCCCATTAGTTATTGAAATACCATGTACTGCCCCCATTATTTTTTGAAACTTCACCTACCAACCCCACATTTCATTTCCAACAAAACACGAAAATTAAAAACTCAAAATCAAATACATTAAATAGTGTTAATTTTTTCTTTTATTTATGAACCGATGAAAAAGGATGGTAAAATTCGTTTGGTAGAGTTTTAAAATTATGATTTGAAAATAGAGTTGTATTTTGAGTTTGTGAGTTTTGAAACTATAATTTGAGTGTAAAAAATTTGTTTGGTTATGAGTTTTAAAAAGAGTTTGAATTGAGTGATATGACATATAATATTGAAAAGTGAGTGTTTTAAAAAGTGTTTTGAAAAGTGGGTGTAGAATTAATTTTCTAAAGCTGTAACCAAACAACATACTCAAACTAATAGATAGAATTAAATTTCAAAAGATATACCAAACAAAGTCATTCAGTGTGTTTGGTTTGAATTTTCTAGATTAAGTTTTTTGAAAATTGAGTTTTTTGGTTTTTGTATTCTTTTGTTTTTAGTGAATATTTTTTTAATTTTAAACATTTTTTTTTACTTTTTTAGATGCACCTTAGTTAGATGTATTTAAAAAGTAAAAAATTTGTGAAAAAATATTTTAAAAAATTAATAAATACATAAAAATATAAAAAATGTACTGAATTATTGTATTTTTTTATATTTTTGGTATTTAGTGAATTTGTAAAAGATTTTTTTTACAATTTTTTTACTTTTTAGATGCATTTATGTTAGGTGCATCTAAAAAGTAAAAAAAATTGCTTAAAATATTAAAAAAATTCAGTAAAAACAAAAAAAAAAATAAGAAAATATAATTTTCTAAAAAGTGTTTTCTGAAAAATGAAAACAAGCAAGCTTATTATGCTTGTTTCCGATTTTTTGAAAACAAAAATGAAAACAAGCAAGCTTATTATGCTTGTTTCCGATTTTTTGAAAACACTTTTCAGAAAATTTTCTTTTTTTATTTTTCGTATTTTTTTTTCACTTAATTTTTTTAATATTTTAAGCAAATTTTTAAATTTTTAGACACCTAACATAAATACACTTAAAAATTATAATTTTCGTAAAAAAATCTTTAAAAAATTCGCTAAATGCCAAAATACAAAGAAAATATATGAAAATTCAGTATATTTTTGTGTATTTGTTAATTTTTTAAAATATTTTTTTATAAATATTTTATTTTTTAGATACATCTAAGTAAAGTGTATCTAAAAAAAAACTTAAAATTTTAAATATATTCACTAAAAATATAAAAAATACGAAAAATAAAAAACTTAACTTTTAAAAAATTGAATCAAACACACTAATGTTTTCTTCTTTAAGGTTTCGTTAAATTGTAAGAAATAATAAAATTAAACAACACATATAATTAATTCATTATCATTCAAAAAGAAAATGACAAACACCCTTGTTTTGTAAATTGTGATGTTTGAACAAAATAAATGTAGTCCTTTTAGTGATTGAAGTGCCTTATTTTGCTCTTTTTCCATAACAATTTATTTTCATCCTAGCTATTATTATTATTATAAGACATGTCATGTGGCATTTTTTTTTTATGCTTATAATTTGTTAAAATTTTACATTTCACATATTTTTTAGACTAAGAATAATCTATGTGTAATGCACTATTATGTTGAATTAAATAAGGGAGCATGGTGTCATGGCCTTGGTAATTTCCAAGTACCTCGTGTGGCACTTAGACAATCTCAAGCCTTACTTGATGATACTAAGTCAACGTAACTCACAAACTTGCAAGAAAGACAAGTAAGAAAAACACAAGAGAGTTTGAGAGAATGCCTTGTATTTACTATAAGAAAGTTTTACAACTCTTGGATTCTTAATGAAGCAAATGAGCCCCTCTCCTATTGATAGGTATCTTAGGCCTTCTCTAGAATATTCCAAAGCATACAAGAAAAGGATTATGAAGAAGCATTTCATGAAAGCTTTCCTTATCCTATAAGAGGCTTGTTGTGAACCAAACCCGCCCCTACAGGTTTAGTATCATGACCAGCCAGTAATCATAGATTACCTATGGCCTCTATAAACAAAAACTTCCTCTCTTTTTTTCTAAGATAATTGTAGGGGTTAGTGGAAGTATAATACAACATATAAGTTATCCATTGAGCCGTGCATATACAGAAAACAAAGAAAACTTTGTATCATAAGCAAACGTCTGTTCTTTATGTACATGCATCACATAAGTTCTAACATCCATATCTTATTGCTATGCAAAACCCCACAATATACACAAATACAAAACGATTGAGCAAAGCAAAAAGGGGGTCTAGCTAACTTGGCTCCACACAAGCCTAGTTTACTTCGTTCAGAAGCTCCTCAAAAAGGTTGACCCAGGTAGACTCGAGGCATTCTTTAACTTTGTTGTTCAACTTGCCCACCAACATAAATATATAAGTAAATAGTGAGCTAGAGAGTAATAACAGTATAAAGAGGTTATATAAATGAAATTCGATAACATTGCCAAACCAAATCTCATTTCAGTTCTCAATAATCAATAAACTTCATCATCGATATCAGTCAACGTCCATTTATGTAGTACATCTATGAAGTAATAATATTCTAAAAACAATGGACCATAACGGTCTAACACTAGAGATCCTTATATGTCAATCAATCCAAAAGCAGTGGTATTGTTTCCCCTAAGTAAGGGTCTAGCCGTGGTATTATTACCCCCAGGCAAGGGCCTAGCCATGGTATTGTTTCCCCCAGGCAAGGACCTAGCTGTGATATTGTTACCCCTAAGCAAGGGTCTATGTTCGATGGATGCCACAATATAATTTCAAAACAGAACTTTATTCATTATGAGAAAATAACATTTCAATAGACCATTCCATCAATCATCATAGCGTTTCAATAAACCATTCAATCAATCATATATCAATTTCGATTACAATAACATCATCGAAAGTAAACATAACTTGAACATATCTTTATAAAGTTATTACTCACAACGGGTTATGCTATCACTAGGCCTCGGACGTCCATCTATACAAAACACATAATAAAAGTACAATTGGAGTACCGTTCGACAGCCATTTCGCTTTAATTAAATTTTCCTCATGTGTTTCTAACTTATTCCATGTTTATATGAGCTCAATTAGAGCCTAAAAGTACTTGAAATGACATAAGGATGCAAGTATGCACTTAAAAGAGTTAGTCAAACTTTGCTGAAAACTGGGTCTCTGCTCGAGCGCAACTTCCTTTGCTCGAGCGGGGGTTCAAAAATAAGGGTGGTCGCTCGAACGCAACTTCGGTCACTCGAGCGATCTGTAAACTTTGCAAAAGTACTGATTGCATAAAATTTCCGCTCGACTATCGCTCGAACAGAATACTGAGTAAAAGTGGGTCCTCGCTCGAGCGCTACTTTGGTCGTAAAAGTTTGTAAAACTTCTGGGAGCTCAATTTTTACGCTCGAGCGACACTTTCTTCACTCGAGTGGACAGGCCGAATTTTGAAATTTCCAGAACTGTGTTCGAACTTTAATCATGATATTCAAAGGTCCAATTCTTGTGTTTTTGGTACAAAAACTTGGAAAAACATTATATAACTTGAAAACACTCTCAATTTGAAATCATTTACTCAAAACCATGATCCATTTGACAACCCAAAACTTAAAACTCTATATTATGAACCATGCATATATCACATTGAATTTGTATCTTCTTATATCTTTCCAAAACTTGATCAACCCACATGACAAGTATGAAACATGTAAAACCCTCAAGTTAAGTTGCAAAAATGTCATGCATATAACAATTTATAGAAAATTGAACTCAAAGATGAAGGATTATGCATGCATGTATGCAATTATACTCAATTCTTCCATAACCAAGTCAATCCCTTCTACTTACATGCAAATAGACTCATAACTCCTTGAATTCATGGCCTACATGTTTTATTTTCAAGATGTAAGGAGGAATTCCATACCTAGGATGTGAATTCAAGTGTTGTCTAGCTCAATTCTTCAAATCTCTAACAATTTTCTTCAAATCTCTCATTTCTTTCTCTAAAGTATTGAGCTTTCCTTCTTTCTCTCTCAATTCTCAGCCAATAGTTGGATATCATATGAGTTCAAGTCGTGAGTGGGCATATATATGATGTAATTAGCTTAGCCTAATCAAGGTTGATTAAGGTTAATTAATTAGGCTCAATGCTAACTAAATCCAATTAATTTATTCTAATTATTTTGATCCGAATCGAATTTTGATAGAAGTTATCATAAAATTTTAAATATTCTAATTAGTCTATTAAGCTAGTCAATTTCTGTTTCTGAAGCTGTCTAGGCTCTCAATTTCAATCTCTAAGTTGCCAATTCAAACAGATATTCCATGTATTAACAGATAATTATAAAATCAAGCATGTAATCACACAATTAAACACACAATCATGTAATTAAACTTATTGAAATAATATAATGTAATAGTTCGGCGGTCGGGGTCGTCACAAGGCTTCTAGAATTCTCCCTAAAAATATCTATATAAACATCTACTTCATTCTAGAAGTAGGTAGAAGGATCTTTTACCACCTCAATTTCTCTAAGAGGTTCTAGAAGCTTCTATTGCTTCCATCCTTCTAATAGTCACTAGAATACTCTAGAACCTCTTCTTAGATCCTTTCATGTATATTATAAAATTATGTACCATATTTCCATATTTTCTCAAGTCTTCTAGGAGCTTTCAAAATATTCCATTAGCCTCCATTCCTTGAGACTTCCTCTTGATAGGCAATTATGTCTAGGTAAGTTAGCGGGACATGACATTCTTCCTCACTCATGCTCACGAAGCCCTCATCGCGCCTTCTTCCTCGAAATCGTAGGTTTTCTCCTTGACTTACGCCTTTTTAGATTTGTCTTGTCCACTTACCCTATTGATGACTTAACAACTAAG